GGGTGGATATAATTCTTCTTTCAATCATAAAATCTAAAACAAAACGCGGACGTGAAACTAAAATATATCTAAAATATTATTTTTTAGTTTTAAAACAATTGCCCCTTGCGTAAAATATTTGATAGGTTTTAAAACTTTTCAAAGTAAATAGGTAGGTAGGTATAGTTATCTGTGTAGGTAGGGATTTATTATCTACAAGCGCTTGTAGAAAATAAATTAGGCCGGATAGATAAGAAATATGTTAGATCGGAGGTAGGTAGGTAGAAGAAATTAAAATGTACAATTAGGATCAAGGCTGTTATGCAGCCTTAATCCTAATTAATTCGGCTAGTAACGTTTAAGATATGTCAGATGTTTAAGATAGGTAGGTAGGATTATATATACTATGTATATTGTATAATATTGTATGTTATATGTAATATATGTAAACTNTATTATATTGTATGTTATATGTAATATATGTAAACTCTATTGTATTCTATTATAATGTACAAAAAATTGTAAAATGGAACTTCAAAATTGAAAACACACTGATAAAGAATTGTAATAAAGCAGAGTAATAGATATCCTTTTTGGAATTGCAACTTTTCAGACGTATATATTTGTGTACCGGCAAAACACCTTTGTGTAATATACATGTTTTCTTGTGTAATTTGTATTTATACGTATATATGTAGTTTTAGAGAAAGTAAAATAAAATTTATAAAGCTAAAAGCAGCAAATGATGATGTAAAAGGAGATGATACACTCCACGAATTCTGATGCTGCTCGCTAAAATAATATTATTTTCTTGACTATCACATCTTTTCTTGTATATCACATTTATGTTGTGTGGAAAGTTGCAATGGTTTTTTTTTTTATCCTTTTCTGTTCTCCTTTCGTATCTTCTCATCACGAGACCGATCATTTTAAATTTCAAAAGAAATCAAATCCACGCTCGAGAATATACTCACACGCCTGAAGAAGGTGACCATTTGGACGCGTGCACGTAGCACAGAATAGAACCGCATGCCGTGGACATAGCGCACCGACATTTCGCTCGTGGACTTGCTGCGTAGTTCCAATGTGTACCACTTGTGGACATGCGGTAGTTTACGGGGCGGAAAAGTGATTACACATTTTCTTATGAACTTGGTTGTTCTCAGGCTTCTCTCTGGATTTACGTTAATTTGTGTCAGCTGGCTCCGTACATGGGCGTTAAAATTTTATTGTGTAACATATGTACTTTGTACCACTGTAATTGTTTGTTAATCGTAGGAAAGTAAAAGCAACACAAACCTCGTCCTGGCTAATATATTCACGACGTGGTTTAGGACAGTAAAGATAGGTAAGCAGAAGCCTCGCAATTTTGTTCGTATTACCGCATTGCACAAAACCGATGCGAATAATTTAATATAACGATAGATATATAGAATAACATTATATGAAAACAAAATTTAAGTAGAAAAAAAATTGCAAAACTGAGAAAAGAATATTTTTTAGGTTGTTCTAATATGATTCAAAAAGGACCTCGTCCGTTAGTATTATGCGGTCCTTCGGGCAGCGGAAAGAGCACTTTCATAAAACGAATGTTTGAAGAGTTTCCTGACACTTTCAAATTTTCGGTGTCTCACACAACCAGAGCTCCCAGACCTGGTGAAGAGGACGGGAAACATTATCATTTCACGAATAAAGAGAAAATGCAGGAACAAATAAAAAATGGCGAATTTATCGAAAATGCTACGTACAGCGGGAATTTGTACGGGACGAGGTAAGAAAGCTCGGCTACGCACTGCAAATATGTGCACACAAAAAAAATGTAAATATATGTACAAAAACCCAAAGCTTAAATATTACACTACGTTGTAGCAAACAAGCGGTTGAAGAAGTGCAGAAATTAGGAAAAATATGTGTATTAGACATTGATGTGCAAGGTGTCGAGCAAATAAAATCCACCCATCTTAAGCCTCTTTATATCTTCATAAAACCACCATCTCTGGCGGAGTTAGAACGTCGATTAAAGGAAAGAAAGACAGAAACTGCGGAATCGCTGGAACGTAGATTAACAATTGCCAAAACTGAACTAGAATATGGTACGGTTTGTATGATCTGCAACATATTGTCACAGAAAAACACTGCTTTTTTTTATACATGTTATGTAAAATACGTTGGGTTTATAGGTGAAACACCGGGTAATTTTGACATTGTCATAGAAAATGACAATTTTGAGAAGGCATATGAGATTTTACGAAACTTTATTACAGCTAATTATAATCTACAAGGTATGTCTGCTCTACTATTTTCTTCTTTTTCATATTTTATAAATATGTAGTTATCAGAATGAGATCTGGTAAATTTTATTCAAATTCTATATCAACACATAAAAGTATATGCAAATGTAGTAACTTTTAAAAAAAAACAAAATTATTTCTTACAGCTGAAACAAGAAGCTAGCAGATCGTTGGTTTCCTCGTGCTATTACTTGGTATATTCTCTCTTCTGGGTATTGTATGTTTAACACGACAAAAAGCATAATATTATATTTTTTAATGAAATGGTTGCTGACTATTGTTACAAATATATTTACCGACTATGTGAACACGTAGAGAGCGTCAGGGTCAGTTCCTAGGAACTGCAAAACAGCTTTTACTTTTTTTTTAATTGCAGGCTAGAGAATCATTAAACAAAATAGAATTATTATTTATACTTATTAGGATTATTATGTATGTTATATTAGAATTGTCTATAAAAATGATAATTTAATGCTTTTAATACTTTGCATTTTTGCGATAACACGCATTTTTTTTAGTTCTTTTTGATGAATATCACGAAAACAAAATAGAACGATTTTTTGTGAGCATTTTCCAAAACAATTTCTACTGGCTTTCTCAACGTGTATGCATATACGTATATAGTACCGCGCGCGTGTAACTATAAATGACATAATGCGAAGCGCATTATATCACGTTTGCATAATGTTAATTGTGAAGGTTTTTACTATTTTGATATACTAATGATAAAAATTTACAACAGTCGCATGTGTGTTCTATCAAATCTAATGTGGTGTTTCAGTGAAACAACACTTATTTTTATGACTCACTGAGACAGATAAGCATTAACAAATTAACAAACTGATTAAATAGAAAGATCCATTCTCTCGCGAAAAGTGCGAGAAAGATTTCTTATATATATATATAAAAAAAAAACCAAAAAAAAAAGTATAGGATTTTATCTTATAACACTAAATATAAAAATAAATCCCAAATGAGATAGATGTAGAATTCTAGTTGTAGCTAACTGAGACTATTCACCAAAAAAGGTTGTGTTCCAATAGAGTAGGCTAATTTGTAAAAAGATACTTACGATTTCCTTGTACTTATTCTTCGTGATAAATATTGTATTGTAAAAAACGTCACGGTATATTTACTTCACCGGTTTACTACATCATTATCAGATCTCAACATTTAGCACATCCCAAGTACTTAGAATTAAAATCGCAGAACGTGTACGCGTTCAAACATTCCTGTAAAATCTGCGTTTACAGTCGATGAAGAATTTTATATTATTCTTGTAGAAGAGAAAATTTATAGACGTAAAAATTGGTTTCCTAAATTATATATATATATATATTATAGAAAATTGTCTTATTTTGCACGAAATGTTTATTCTACAATTGAATTTTTGATCTACAATTAAATTGTTAGTTTAAAAAAAATTGAACTGTCCGTAATAAGATGTAATAAAATGTAAGTAAATAAGAAAAATATTAATTAACTTTGTTGAGTTGCACTGACAATTCGATAAGACTGAATTCACTTTTGCATTAATTGAAGTACACGAAGAAATTTTTTTTAATTTAGAATCAGCCGATGCTGCAAACGATTTGTAGAAATAAGATATGTTATTTTGTATATATATATAGTATATAGTATATATATATATATATTAACTATAGTATATAAGAAAATATACAATTGTTGTGCGTATGTATTTTCAACGATATATATTCAATAAATGCTTTGAGTTAGTAGAAATCCGTGAGTTCTATATATTAGATGTTTAATAAGTAATATATATATATATATATATGTATGTATGAAATAAGAGAGTATACATGTGAAAAATCTTGTTAAATATAGATAAACTGCACAGAAACAATTAATTGTCACTCCGATTTCTCGTTCTTTCTCTTCATTCGGTTATATATATATATATTTTTTTTTTCTTAAAATCAAACGATCGAACGATCACCAGATTCCGATCGATGACGATGATTGGAATAATCACGTTTGGCCCATTCGCCGTGATGATGACGCGTTTTGTGTCGCGGCAATTCGCTTATTTCGATTGACGTCACTTTGATGTCATTTTCTTCCTGCTTGCCAGGTCGACTATCGGCGATCTCCTCGCGAATGAGATTGTCGCCGTAATTACGCGGTGTGGTGTCAATTGTCGTCTTATCCTCGAGTTGGGTCGTCGGTTTCTTGAAGAACGTGTATCTGATCACTTGGGGCCGCGGTTCAAAGATATTCTCCGCCGGCAAGGAATCGGAAATAATCGGCGACGCAGCATTCGCGACTCGCGCGTCGCTCATTGCGTTCTCGCTAACGATCTTTTCGAGATAATTAGACGGTCGGTTCGCATCACGCGTCTCCGATTTGTCCAACACGTTGAAATCCGATTGTTCGGACGAATCGTAAGATCGTCGATCTATTCCAAATCCTTTTTCACCTTCGCTAATCTCCCGAGAATCATACAATCCCGACTGAAACCGATCAATTTGGTTGTTGGCACGCTCGAGATATCTCTCGAGAGCGTTCCAATTTTCCAGATCGCGAGAGATCGCTCGTCTAACGAGTTTGGATATACCATCGATGTTCGCGTTTTGCGGATCCCCGTTGTAATTGTCGATAATTATCGGACGTCGATGAAAAGGCGCGATTTTATTCCCAATATCGTAATCGCGTTCAGATTTTATCGCTTCTTCTCTACGTTGCTCGTTCGACGGAGTATTCTCGTTATCCGTTATTACGACGAGCGATCCATTAGTAGTCGCCGGGACACGGCGATTCGCGTTTCCGGCTGAGTACGCGAGTCGTTCGAAAGGCACTTGAAAGCTTCTCTCTAACACCGCGTTTCGATCGACGTGGTTTTCAACTGGTTTCTGCTGATTGGCCGTTTTGCGAATATTCGGATAATACGGCTCGTAAAGCACAGGTCCCCTCGCCAAATCGTAATACCTGTCATCAGAAACGCGCGAAATAAAGAACAACAATTGCGATCTATCGTCTTTTGTGATCAAGCCGTTTGATTTCTAGAAAACAAATCGTCACGCGGACTATCAATAACTTTGAGCGTGCCGAAAGCGATAATAATCACCTTTCCGCATCCCATGGCCATAATAGGACGGTCGCACTGACGATGGATGATACATCTATGAAAAAAAAAAAAAAAAAAGAAAAGATTATAAGTGCACGCAAATTTTTTTCAGAAAACCATCTCAACGACGGCGTCATACAATCTTGCACACACACGTACCTAAACAGATAACGATCAGAATTGCCGCCAACGACACGTATCCCCAAGATGCCATGACTGTGTGATCGAGTGTCTACGACCTACGACTGAGCTTCTCCAAGAGAAAGAGACAAAAGTAGGCGCGCTCGCGCGTGTATTTTCGTGATTTCTTAAAATAAATCTCGGTTTCTCTTCTCTGAGTTCAGAACGCGTCGCGCCGACAAGCTCCGACGTCCCGTTCCGTTACTTACATTATTACATCGCAAAATTCACTCGCAAACAACAAGGGACACACACCACGGTCCCCGTTATATTGTGTTCAATTAATCAAACTATCAGGGCCGGCGAAGTAACTTTTTTTACATGTGCGGTGTTGGTTCAAAGAAGAGCGAATCGATAATTTTCAAAGAATTAGTTGATTGAATTTTTATATGTAAAAAATATACGTTACTTATTTTATTTTTTTCTTTTCAATTTTTTATTTTTATTTTATTTCTCAATGAAATTGTATAGCTCGTCGAATGTTATTTTTGCGTATGAATTTCATTTGCCAGTTCCTCTAAATCTATCGATTCAGCTTCTTCCTTGTGCAAATTCGTTATGGTAACGCTATTTATATTAGCGTTCTATTTTGAAGCATCTATTTCTATTTTGAAGCATTGTCGAACGTACACCGAAAAAATTGTATTCTTGTTTTGAGGAGATATCCCACTTACTTTAAGTATATTTTATACTAAAATAGGCGCCAAGAAGAGTTTCTTATTTTAAGAGGAAAATCCTCTAAATAGTAATATTGATAAGAATATATACTGATTAGAATATAAAAAGCCTCAATATAGAAAAACATATATATCTCACTATTCAAAAAGGCTATATTCTTAAATTAAGAATATGTTCTTAATATTTCAGAAGAATATCATCTAAAATCTTTAAGATTTTTTAAATATAAAATCTTCTACTTACAAAAATATAATTTTTTCGTGTATATATATTTTTTTTCGGTGTATATATATATATATACACGTACACCGAAAAAATTTTATTCTTGTTTTGAGGAGATATCCCACTTACTTTAAGTAATATTTTATACTAAAATAGGCGCCAAGAAGAGTTTCTTATTTTAAGAAGAAAATCCTTTAAATAGTAATATTGATAAGAATATATACTGATTAGAATATAAAAAGCCTCTATAGAAAAACATATATATATCTCACTATCGAAAAAGACTATATTCTTAAATTAAGAATATATTCTTAAATAAAAAATATATTCTTAATTTCAGAAGAATATCATCTAAAATCTTTAAGAAGATTTTTTAAATATAAAATCTACTTACAAGAATATAATTTTTTCGGTGTAAGTAATTTTTGAATCAAGTACAAGTTGACACAGGTATAAACAAGTAGTAATTTTTTAGTTTTACAAACTCTCTCAAACGCGATGCTTAAAAGTGATAAGTTACTTTTTATAAAGTTAACTACATTAATTCAAACTGTTGGCTTTTAATTCGCGATTACGCATTATGTCGAGACAAATTTCGCGATGCAATTCTAATCTTTTGGGATCAAGATAATCTTCTTTATCGCGGTATTGTAAAAATTTGTTATAAACCATATCGTCGGACTCGCTATTAATTATAAACCGTTTTCTTACGAACGACAGTGCTTCGTTTTCAAACCTATCTTTTAGAAAACAAGGAGTTTGATCTATTAACATTTTTCGATAAATATCTTTTGGCAAACATACAATTCGATTGATCGACGTAAATTCCACACACGTCAAGTTCACACATGTGCGGAGTACTCCCCTATTTCTCACCACATACTGATCGCCGGCCCTGCAAACTACTTCGTTCTGCGAACGAACTTTGATCAAAATCAATTCGCGATCCACGTTCATTATTGTCACGCGAGTATCCGCGGTAATTTGTTCGCGGGTCCAATTAATCACGCGTATGAAACTTTCTCGCTTTAACCGCGAGAAAGTTTCGAGTTGTGTCCGCGCGCAATTTCGCGCGATGTGTAATTTTATCCGTTTCGCGGAAACACAAACTTATCGAAAAAGTCAAAACTTTTTCGCCTTCGTTTACGAAATTATAGAAGTCGCTGAAAGATCGTTTTGTAACTAGAGAAGACAAGAAGGATATTCGGAAAACGTAACGTAATTTCGAGAGAAAAATTATTGCACGTCGCGATTAAATTGGATTAAATTTTTAAGAACAACCAGAAATTAAAAAAAAAAAAACTTGGAACGAATTGACGCACCGCGCGAGAGAAGTCATTTTTCTTCGTTAGTAAGAAAACTCCTGTTCTCGTGTCGGTGATTGAAACTTCTCTTGGCGTAGTACAGCTCGGCGAGGAACAGAACGACGCAGGAAAGCAACCCGATCAACAATCCGACGAACGTGAGGGAGTAATGCTCCATGGTGAGTTTGATCTTTCTCTCGCTCTTCTCCATCTTTCGTCTTTGCTCGAGAGCGTATATCGGATACGTCAAGTTCTCGTACCACATTGAGATCAGACCCGCCTGCTGCATTCTTAATATCAACTCGTCGACCTTTTCCCGATAAGGCGAGTAAAGTCTTATCACGTAAGACAACAGAGAAGTGGTCGGACACTCATCGACTACGTGGAGCATGTTGTTGCCGTCCGCGTCGTAATACATGGACTGATCTTCGAGCTCGATCGACGAGTAACGCGTGAACGCGATCGATTTCTTGTTGAGAGCAACCAATTCGATGGTCGGTTTGTTCGACGTGACCACCTTGAACTTGCTCTGCAATTTCACGTCCAACGTGTCGTTGTTCGTGAATGTGTTTTCCTTCAAGTTGGCGTACTTGGTGATTATGGTGTAGTTGGAGTCGGCGACTTGCTCAAGAGTGTTCAGCTCGGGATAGTGAAAAGGATTGCTCAGACTGGACACGAGACAGCTTTGATAGAGACCGGTTACGACGAGGCCGAAGAAAAGCGTGCCGATCAACAGGGCTTTCTGGGCGCTGTCGGTGTCGGCGTCTTCCTTCAACGGGTAACACATGGTCTCGACGAGGTCGAAGCACGACAAGACGCAAGGATTGATCCGGGGCGGCGAATCCGATGATGATCGACGACGCGAAGAAACTGTCGTTCCGGCTGAGGGAAGATCGACGACGGGTTCCCGACGACTTAGCGACTTGCCGAAGTGATTGAGGAGAAGCCACAGAGCGGACACGAGAACGTTGTAGACCGCCAGGGCGATCCACAGATCGGACGCGAACGGCATTACCGGCATGTAGGATTTGGGCACGAAACCGGCTGTAGGCGCGATGAAACACAACTTGTCCTCGTAAACGCCCGCCGTGAACTCGTATCGTCGATACTCCCTGTACTGATTGGTGATGAAAGCGGTGACGATCATGTCCGCCTCGCCGTTCTCGATGAATCTAAGAGTACTCTGAAACGGATCTCTCTTGGCTAAATTGGCGAACACGTTGTAATCGAACCTGGCTCCCATCATTTTTTCGAGCACCAACATCGCGTTCGCGTCGAGTTTGCGAAATCTCGGTTTTCCCGTGTTTGCGTCGTACGTGACGTTCATCATCGTCGAATTGAACACGACCACGCGCAACGGGTACTGATTGAGATTGTCCAAACTGCTGTAAAGCTCGACGTTGTCGTCCCGACGACGATCCGTCTCCAAGCAGTTCTTGCGCACGACGCCGTACTCGTTTCGCGGATTTTTCTCGAACGGCAGATATCTGCTCAGACATCGAAATCCGTCCAGCATCGAGATAACGACGATTCTGTAGACGCTGTAGGTTTGCCAGACGGCGCGAAACATATCTCGCGACAAATTCGCTCCGACGGTGACGATCACCAGATACTGATTGGTCGCTTTCCAGATGTGATCCTGCTCCCGTATCAGAGAGTTCAGAATCTCGATGTCGTCGACGATGAAGATCCACGTGAGATCGACGCGATTCTGCCAGGCGCACCGTCGCGAAAAGTGGCTCGTTGTGATCCTGTAGCTGACAATCGACTCGCTCGCCACGTAGTCGGACACGAAGTCCGCGTAATTGGATCGTCCGTCGGAAGAGACGAGAGAAAATATCGGCGGATAAAATTCCCGCTTGCTTCGGACGTAGTTCAATGTGATTCTCAAATTCTTTTCGCCCTCCGTCGGAACCGACGGATAATTTGTCCCGACAATCTTGCCGTCGGTCGCGTTGCTCGTCGTCGTTGTTATCGTCGTCGACATCGACGTCATTAAGAAAATTATCGCCAGCAACATCACGATCGGAAACGGAGGAACGTGTCCTTTTCTTTTTTTTCTTTTTTTTTTTTTTTTCTGCTTGAAGTTTTTCAACTATCGACGCGCGGACATGCCTTGTTCGGTGCACGCCGAACGGTAATCAACTTGAAGAACTGAAAAACTCTTGGTTTTATATACGTAGACGCCGGTCGATATAGTTAAACGGAAGTAGATAGAAATCGTGCACGTGAAGTCTGTAAAAAAAAAAAAAAAAACATCGAGGGGGATAATCGCGGCGCGCAAAAGCGCGATGTCGAATGCCAGCCGGGCGGGAACTTTATTGCGTTTTGACGAGCTCGACCGCTCGCTGATCACTCGAGTTGATGTTTCGCGGTAAAGAGGATCGTAAATCATTCGCGACGAGAGAGAGAGAGAGAGAGAGAGATCCGAAGAAGAAACGTTGAAAGAGAAAAATTCACACGAAAAGCTACGATCGTTTTGGAAGATACGAGACGACGATCCCCCCGTTCGGAAGTTCAAAATTTATTGGAGTCCTCAATCATCTTTCTTTTGCTTCGAAGTTTCTCATTATTATTATTGATACTCGGCAATTACGCGTAACGCGTCCGGTATTTACGTCGGATTTGATGAAAGCGTCGCGGAAGAGAGCGACGTGATAAATCGTCGCTCGTTTTTTTCTTTTTCATTTATCTTTTAAATAAATTTCCAGTAAGAGATAGGATTGAAATCGACGAGTATGTGTCATGAGCGAAATGAAACGCGATGCGACGTCGGAACAATCTTTAGAGCTGGCAGTTGTTTTTACATTGCGTTGCATATATATGTATGAATATATATTGAAAATATATTTAAGAAATAAATATATTAAAATATATATAAAATATATTTAATAAATGTATTTAAAATATATTAACTTAAAATATATTTAATTAAAATATATTTAAGATATATTGGGTCATTAAATATGAAAATATATTGTGTATATATATATATATATATATATATATTTGTACATATAAAAGTGTTATTAAATTAATTATTGTCAAATTATTATTATTATTATTTTATTATTAATACACAAAAAATAAAAAATATACTTGTCAAGTTTCATACTTAATGACCCGATATAACACCCGGCCGAATAATATGTACAAGAGGGTACGACGTGATAAAAAAAATAAAAAAATATAAAATGAAATTTTTTTTTTTTCAATTTTGATTCGGTTTTCGAGAAAATCGAGTTTGTTTGCAAACGCGATACGCGTTATACGCGTCGCTCAACGAACCGTATCTTACAACACGTAACAACGTGTGTACGCAGCGGATTTGCAATCTCGATTTTTTTCGAAAACTAAGCCAAAGATAAAAAATATTTATTCTTTAATTAATTAATTAATTTTTTTTACAAGAAATCACGTCGTGACCCGCTTGTACACGTTATATTCGGCCGGACATGTATATACAAGATGTCCGGTAATGACCGCATTAGCTCTCGCAGGCAAGTACTTGGAACGGGTTGTGTGCCGAGAAGTCCTCTTCAACATCTTCCCAATAATTAGTCGTTAATTAATGAAGAACCGAGAGTGAGCGCGCGTTCGCGTGAAGAAGCAGCTGTTGCAATGCACAGTTTTTTTTATTTCCTCTCCCACAGCTGAGCTGTCTCTTCGGGCACGCTCGTTCGCTCGTTTGCTAAATTAATTATCTTAACTTATTAATCATTGAGAATCTCGCAAAATGGACTTTCCAACTATAAGCACAAGTCGCTTCGGTTGTTCCCGAGAGATGATGTGTCTATTACCGGATACCTCTGTATATAATTACATTGTAAATTCTGATTTTGAACAGCGAAGTTCGTTACGGGCGTCGCAATTCGTTAAGTACAAAGGCGCTTTGACGGAAAAGCTACGTGGGATGATTGTCAATCAGCTCGACTCCTACACCGTCCTACCCGTTTTCGCGTATAATCAGCTTTTAAGCTTTCCTACTAGGAATGCGGGTGTACCCCCTTGCCCCGCGTTTTACACCTTCTTTTACGTTTGCTTTTAGTAAATTGAGCAAACGTTTGCTCCTCCCTTCGTAAACGTCGTGTCTCCTCGACGTGTCATTAAAGTTGTGAGAGCTTGATTGCACAGCGCAAAGATTCTCACGGGATAGGAAACAGCCCCTCGTCGATTATTTTTTTTTGTTTGTTTGTTTGTTGAGAAAACCACACGGAAGCGTTTTTTTTATTTGCTCCCTCTTTCTCTCTTTTCTCCATTTCACTTGTTTATATATCGTTTATGTATGTCGCGAGCAGGGAAAAACGTAATTGACAGAAACGAATGAGAAAAAATAATTAACACGACGTTGTAATTGACATCTTCGTTATCAAGTAAAAATTTCAAGTGCGAGGTGTTTTTTTTTTTTTATTTTTACATCTTTTTTATTCAACGTCGAATGTGCGCGATAATAAATCATCGTCTTATAATTCGCGTCTGACAATTTGCACATATGTTCGCACCGCTTTTTATTTGCGCGCCCTTGTGTGTACACCGAAAAAATTATATTCTTGTAAGTAGAAGATTTTATACTTAAAAAATCTTCTTAAAGATTTTAGATGATATTCTTCTGAAATTAAGAATATATTCTTTATTTAAGAATATATTCTTAATTTAAGAATATAGTCTTTTTCGATAGTGAGATATATATGTTTTTCTATAGGGGGGCTTTTTATATTCTAATCAGTATATATATTCTTATCAATATTACTATTTAGAGGATTTTCCTCTTAAAATAAGAAACTCTTCTTGGCGCCTATTTTAGTATAAAATATACTTAAAGTAAGTGGGATATCCTCAAAACAAGAATACAATTTTTTCGGTGTACATATTTGCCGTAATAATGTTCTATTTTATCTCACCTGAAGAGAACAAGCTCGCGCGCGAACATTTTCGTTCCGACGACGTGCGAGTGTGAGTGTTCGCGTCGAAAAAGTTTGATTTTACAAAAGATTTGATCTCGCGCGCGCGCGCGCAAATCGGAGATACGATTAATATAAATGACGGGCTTATCTTTTTAACCGCGCGATTTATCTGGGGAATCGAAAGAGCGCGAGTATGTATTTCGCCTCTCTTGTGCACGTTACATATGTACACGCGAGCGAAGTGTCGAGGAGAAACATGATCGAGGACACCTACGTGTTCAATGCGATGCGACACGATATAGCGGGGAGAAGGAGAGAGAGGGCGGTTAATAAGGGTGGCCGATAAGGATGAGTGTGATGTATGATTTGAGATATATACACACACACACACACACACGTGTGAAATACGAGGAAAAATGCCGAAAGTATCCGCAGTGTTAAACCGAATAAATGAGAGAGCGGTTCGCGCGCGGCAAACGCAAACATGGTAAACGCAAACAAATGTATTTCGGTGGAAAAAAATGTTTGACGAGAAATTTGTTTTTCTCCCTCCCTCCCGTAGGTCGGCAATATATTATTTTTTATGTGTGTTTGCAGCCGATTATTCGTCGATTGTTCACCCTTCTGGCGTTGCTGGGTTTTTTTGCGCGCGCCACGTCGAACGATGGCGATGTCGGGTGGTGCCGATGGCGCAACACCGTCGAGTTTTGGAGCACCGTTGTTTGCGCCATGGAGAACTTCAAAACCGTGAATTTTCACGTTGCGTCTGATAATAAAAAATCAATTGTCGCCCGGAACTTCGAACAATGCTTCGAGGCTTTTGTGCACGGCGTCGCGCGCAAATGCGAGCGAACCGTTGTGTCGAGAACTTACGCGTCTCGTTATTTGGGAGACGAGTCCTTTATCGAATTCGACAACGACGCGGTTCGTCGGGTCGTCGGGCCGAAACGGCCGTCGATTTGGAAGATTGCGTCTGATTGCGACGCGATCGGTTCCCGTCGCGACGCTACCTCGGCGACCGCCGAGAGAATCGGAAGAAACAAAAAAAGCGCCTTCTACGGCGAGAACACGTGGAATGTGCACGTGATTCTCGCGCGAGATATTCGCTTCCTCGATCGGATCTCGAAGGACGACTCTACGTGGATGCGTCCGCACGATCGTTTTATCGTGCTGATTTCTCGTCAAGACGAAGATCGGCCGCGCGATTCGGATTCGACGACGATCGACGACGTTCTGCGAACATTGTGGCGCAAACGCAACGTCCAAAGCGTCTTCGCCGCCGAGATGACCCCGAACGACACGATGACTCGAATCGTTCGCACTTACAATCCGTTTGTGAAAGTTAACGATTCCGGTTCGTATATCGATTCCGTTTGACTCCGAACGAATTTTAACGTTTTTTTTTTTAGAGAAAAAATAAGAAAAAACACTTCCGACGTTGAATTTCGCGCGATGATTTTTCAGGATGGGGTAAGATCGAGGTAATAAACGTGAGAACGGCGATGGAAGCGTCGAACGTGCTGTCGCATCTCAAGTATCGGCGAACGAGAAATCTGAATCGGTACGAGTTGAAAGTGAGCATGTTCAAGGAAGGCGAAACGGTCAACAAAACGAAGACCGTCACGCGTTACGAATCCGATTCCGACATCTTCAAAGGATTTGACGACATTTTGTTAGAAGCAATAGCTGTCTCCACGAATTTCAAAGCGAACTTCATAGATCCGACGGATAATCAGACGTTCGGCTATCAGTTACCTAATGGGACTTACACCGGCGCCTTGGGTACGTTAGCGATCATTTTTTTTTTGTCGCGCGAGATGCAATTTTTCTTCAAAACTTCGCAACAATTCGCTGAAATAAAATTCGCGCGGTATAAATTGATTTTGCTCATATTTCGATTCGCGCGAATATCTTTCAAGAGATGTATGTACATCTAATTTTCTTCAAGTTCTTTCCTTCTAAACGCACTAATTAATTTCTCTCGAACATTCGACGATTACACATGTGCGTACACGGAAAAAAAAAGTTTTGCTATGTGGTCAGCAAAAAAAAAATGGTTGACCCTAGGAAATTTTTTGTTTCATCAACAAAATGTTTCGTTGGCGAAACAAAAATTTTACTTTAAACAAATGTTTTTTTGCTCTGGTCATGTATTAAAACTAATTTCTTGCTATTCTGGCAAATCTTTTTTTTTTCCCGTGTACAGGCGACGTGATTTACGGTCGAACGGACGTGTGCGCCGAGTCCTTTTTCGTCAAAAAATACAGCAGCTCCGACCACGAAGACGTCGAGTTCAGCACGTACGTGGATTTCGACCGGGTGTGCGTGTTCGTTCCGAAGGCGTTCAAAATACCGAAGGGGTTGCGAATGTATCATTTCTTCCCGTTATCAATTTGGATCTTGACGTTGGCGATTTACGTCCTCACGGTTGTGACGTGGTATTTTCTACAAGTTCTCACCCCGGGCAGCAGGTCCAGGTATTTCCGCGTCTCGTACACCGAAAAAATTGTATTCTTGTTTTGAGGATATCCCACTTACTTTAAATATATTTTATACTAAAATAAGCGCCAAGAAGAGTTTCTTATTTTAAGAGGAAAATCCTCTAAATAGTAATATTGATAAGAATATATACTGATTAGAATATAAAAAGCCTCTATGGAAAAACATATATATCTCACTATCGAAAAAGACTATATTCTTAAATAAAGAATATATTCTTAATTTTAGAAGAATATCATCTAAAATCTTTAAGAAGATTTTTTAAGTATAAAATCTTACAAGAATATAATTTTTTTGGTGTATATATATATATATTCTCCGGACGCGTCGCACGGCGACGTTTGTTTGCGACGACGAAAAAAACTAACGCGACGTTTTTATTTTTCAGAACGAGGAACGTCAGCTTTTGCAAAACGTTCTATCGATTGCTCATGCTGAACATCTGTCCCCAGAAGTTGCCCGAGTCAAACGCCGAGAGGATATTGCTCTCGGTTGTTCTGCTCGCCAACGTGACCATGGTCGGAATCTTCGGTGGTATTTTGTACGACAGTTTCGCGCGCGACATGTATTATCGTGATATCAACGATCTCGAGGAACTCGATTCCTCGGGGTTGCCGTTAACGCTGACCTCGTTCAGTCTGAACGATCTCTTCGGTCCGGAAAACAACACCGATTTGCCGAGGACGATGCGAAATCTGCGAAAGAAAATGATATACGGTTTGAATTCGCTGCAACGAGCGGCTTATTATCGCAACGTCTCGGGATTCGTGAGGGAAAGCCATTATCCTATTCTCAGAGAGAAATACGTCGACGAGAGCGGCGACCGGTTGATTCATCTCGTCAATGAATGTCCAGGTACGAATATATATATGTACATATATCGCGCGACAAGAATTTTTTTTTCGCGGCCTATATGTAACGCGTTTGTTTGTTTTTTTTTTGTGTGTGTCAGGTGGATACTATTTGGCGTATCTGTTGCCGAGAGATTCGATTTTGCGCGAGAGAATAAACACGGTGATCGGCCGATTGGATCAAGCCGGTCTACTCACGCTGTGGAAGAACAAGTATCACACTTTGCACATCTTAAGGACACGCGCGTTGGCAAAGAAGAAAATCAAACGGACGAAAATCGAACAGGACCGTTTCGTGCCGTTTGATTTATCCGACGTGCAATTGTCCTTCTACATGCTACTGATAGGACTGTCGATATCCACGGTTGTATTTTTTCACGAGAAGGGTTGGATAAAATTACCGTTGCTGTGAAAAACCTCCCACCCCCCTCTCCCCCCCCCAAAAAAGAACAAAAGTCGAATCTTAAATATCTCTGACGCGTTTTCTGAAATCGAAACGAAGTTTCTCGATGTTTGTTCTCTCTCTCTCTCTCGTGTGCGCGCAATTTTTTTCACGGAACAAAGTTAAAATCGCACGGGAGGAGGAAGATGCGTTATTGACAACGCGCGTTGACAGCACGTGTTACACTTCATTTTGCTGCCCGAGCACCGACGACGATACGAATTGTTCTCAATTTGCGTTGCGATCCAAACGCTTCTTAAAAAAAAAAAAAGTGAAACACTCTGTCTTCCTTTTGCGCTTTAAACGTTTCTCGCGCGATTCGATCGCGTTCCAGCTCTTCTTCTCTTCCAATCAAAAAAAAAAAAGTGACAATCAAAGTATTTGTTGCGATGCGAAATTTGTTTTTGCCAAATTTTCGAATTGAATTTAAATTTACGAATTTCCACGTGAAGAAAGTAAACAAATATATGTGTAATCGCATGACGTATGATACACTCGGCGGAAATTGGTTCGCATCGACGACGACGATTTAATATTTAATTACCGCCGATAATTGAAATCGAAACAGTCAGGAAGCTTTTATCTTCCCCCCGTTTCGTTGAAAAGAAAACAAAATGTTTGCGCAAAAAATTTCAAAATTGTATTACACTGCCAATAACTTACACTAATTATTACGTTAATTTATTTTACACTAATATAGGAGCGCGCGTTGTAAACGTTACGTTAACGCAGGTCACTCGCAAGTTAGATTTAGAGAACTGACGATGTGAAACGGCGTAAGAAATAAAGAACGGGACGGAAAATAGAGACAAAACCTTTCTGTCTACGTGTGTGTGCGTCTGTCTTTTCCTCAACATCAATTATCTTTTAACCGCGTTACTTTAATAGCGACGTGAACGCGCGACGTTTGCGACGAAAAAAAAAAAAACGCACACGTGTGCGATTCCGCTTTTCTCGTGAATAAACGCGCGAACACACCATCATGGACCATCGACGACGTTCTGCGCGCAGGCTCTCCCTTACAGAGAGAGAGAGCGCGGTGAGGAAAACGTCGAGAGGGAGGAACTGTGCTCGTGAATCTTCGCCAGTAACATCGTCAGTATCGCGACTCTCCACCGGCTGGTTCATTCCGAAGCGAATCGTGCACCAAATTCTCACTGCGTGTAACCTGTTGCCGAGCCGAAATGTCAGAACGCGGCGGATGATGTGATGTATCTACGTCGTGCAACGAATCGTTCGATTGATAACAAGCCACCGCACACGTGTGAAAGTGCGCGCATATGGTGTGAAAACCCGCGGATGCGTAACACCGGAGTATATAAAAGTTCCTCTCCGTTTTCTTTCATCGAGATTAAATACGAATTAAATCATCCGTACGCACCTCTATAAAAAAAATTAAAAAATAAATAAATAAAGAAAAAATATCGTTCTTTCAGAAGAAGATTGTCTTCGAAAGACGAAAGACACGGGAAACACTACGTGAAAGAACAGGCAATTTCTAAAGGCGAGAATCAATTATCGCCGACAAGTTCCAATTATAGCAAAAGTGAGACCGACAATGCGCTCGTTTTAACATTCAATTGAATTCGAAAACTTGATTATTTTCTCGAGAAGTGCGATTTCTCCGAACAGTTACACGGAAGGAAAAACGGAAGTTTTCATCGATAAAATAGAAGAGAGATCACGTCGGCGAACGCAAAAGCCCGACTGTAATTCTCGACTGTAAAATACGATATCAGTCGCAAATTACACGATATATTTTAAACGTTCAAGTTTGTTTTTAGATTATCATCAAAAATATCGAATTACATCGACGGCGTCGCGATAATGTAATTTCAAATTGTGATACGCGCGCGGAAAAAAAAAAATATTTGCCAGAATAGAGCAAAGAAATTAGTTTACTATACGGCCAGCGAAAAAAAAACATTGTTAAGTTTATTAAAATTTTTGTTTCGCCAACGAAACATTTTTTGTGGATGAAACAAAAAATGTCGTAGAGTCAACCATTTTTTTTCTTGCCAACCATATATATAACAGCAAAATTTTTTTTTCCGCGCGAACTCCGAAGGCTGAATGAGAGCCGACAGATCCAGAGATTTTAAAGGAATACCTTACTTGCTTAATTGTTTTAGACTCGAAACGTCAATTGAATCGTTCGTCGAACAGACAAAGATGAGACCGCGCTTGGTGTGAAACGGATTTTCCAACGCGTCGATTGTCGTAAGCGTGTTGCAACTCTCACAATCGGCGCCGATTGTCTAAGTTTTCGCGTCTGAAAATATATAATCGCCTCAAAACCGCGCGATTATGTATCCTTCGAAGAACTACGCGGACATTTTTCGTCAGTTCAACATGACCGACGACGATTACGACATTGATTTCGATTACTTCTTGAGCAAGTTTAATCTGACGTTTCGCAACAAAGACAGATTCGAGAACGCGCGAAATGGCGTTCCGATTATTTCCGAAAACGGAAGCGACAACAACGGCAGCAAAGCAACGGAGCGATCGTGCTACTGCGAGCCCGTGATGCGTTATTTCGCGATGGAGTACAGCAAAAATTATCACGGTTACGCGTCGTTGATCGTTTGCTCGTTCGGCACGTTAACAAACATACTCAATATAATCGTGCTCACGAGAAAAGACACGAAATCTGTGCCCATAAATCGAATTCTCACGGGAATGGCCACGGCTGACGTGCTGGTCATGTTGGAATACATTCCATTCGTGATTTACAAATACTTCGTTCTACCGAAACGTCGAATATTTCCGTACGGATTGGCCGTGTTCGTGCTCTTCCATATGCATTTCACGCAATTGTTTCACACAATCAGCATCGCCCTCACGCTCACTCTCGCCGTTTGGAGATACATAGCCATCAGGTGAGTGCTACTCCTTACCGCGCATAGGAACTTCGGTTTCTCCAACCCGAGAAGGGAGATTACGTCGAAACGTTGTTGTTTGTCTTTTGTATTTGCGTCACCGCAGGTTCCCGCAGCACAGTCACATCTGGTGCACCGGGCGACGCTGCACGATCGCTCTTTCTTGGAGCTTAATCGCCCCGGTTTTTGTCTGCGCTCCTAGCTATTTCGTATTCGGAGTAAGTAGACACACACACACAATCACATTGTGTTTCGTGTAATATTTGTATATATATATATATGTAATATTTGTATATATACTTTGCTAATCGCGTCTCTCAAGCTTTTGTATTTTATTGCGCTCGTAGATAAATTCGCAAACGATTCACGAGAACGGCACCAAGGAGATACTCTATCACGTAGACACTAAATATCCCGAGGAGGTGGGTTTTATGTATCAATTGAATTTCTGGTTACTGGGTGTAATTAAGTTTCTGCCGTGCGTTCTTCTCGCGATGATTACTTCCTGGCTGGTAAACGCTCTCCACAGGTAACGAGAAGACGATCCATTTTAGTTTTGCACGCGCAACTTTGAGTTTTCGTTTGTTCTCATCATGGTTCTGCAAAACCAATTTTGTTGATTTTGCTTTGTGTTTAGAGCGCAAGATAGAAAATATACGTTGAAGATCTACGGTCACTGTGATCTAAAGACATCGAAACCGACAACAGCTCTGTCCGGTTTCGAGAATAACGAGGGATGGCCCGACGGGGAAAAGGACGAGCATCTCAGGAGAGCGAGCCGATCCGATAAACGAACGGACAGAACAACGAGAATGCTCATCGCGGTGTTAATACTGTTTCTCGTAACCGAAATTCCTCAAGGGATTTTGGGTTTGCTCTCGGCGTATGTAGGCGATTGTTTCTTCCGTAATTGTTATCACAAATTTGGCGAGCTAATGGATATCTTGGCTCTGTTAAATAGCAGCATCAACTTCATTCTGTATTGTTCGATGTCGCGGCAATTTCGCATGATTTTCGGCCAATTGTTCAAACCCAGAATTATGAATTGGCCGACGCTAAATCAACATCAAACCGATGTACAAAGCACATATGTTTAATGAAAATTTGCATTTTCCACGCAACGTTTCCGTTTCTGGAAATTGGATTTCGAAACACTGAATCTGACCGTGTATAATATATAAGCAAATAATAATAAATAATAAATTAAATACCAATACATTAATATTTAAATATTAACAAATACTATAATTAGAACAAAAAATAGAAAGTATATAATTAGCGTGAATGTGATGTTGAAGTTAGTAAAAAATACATAGAGTCTCTCTCTCTCTCATCTCTCTCTTTCTCTCTCCTTCCCTCATTTGAATTGAAGAAGAGTTAAAAAAAAAAAAAAAACCGAGTCAATGTATCAACGTGCATGTATTTTTCCTCTTATAACGTCGTTAATAACAACGTTACTATAATAATAAACTTAAGATATCTACATGTGTAGGTGTGCAAACTTAATGAGCACACACAAGTTCAATCTGGCGCGGATAACACGCGCATGTCCCTGGGAAGTTAATTTCCATGCGTTTAATATTGCAATTTTCCGTCGCTATATATATTTCACATGTATATCTTCAAAACTTTGTAAATATTAGCGAATAAAAAGATAAATGCAATATTGAGGTTATTACTTTATATTATTACTTTATATATATATATCATGATATATGTGAAAGCGTCATTCATGTGTGTGATTTCATTCATCAGCGTATATAAAATATAAACTTGATATATATACTTTCTTTAAAGTGGATTATTTCCTGATCCGCATCGTGCGCGGACGTGATAGCTACGTATATATATATATATTATACGTAATACATATTTATTTTAAACCTCGTCAGCGTCCAACTCCCGCTTCTCGACTTCTTCTGTCGCGCGCGGTGAGTCTTGAGCGACATTCAAATCCATTTTCTCGCGCTGTAGTTTTCTTGACAACCTCTTCGCCATTTGCGATATCTGCGTGCGTTGAAAATTTATCAAATACAGGCACGCGCGCGCGCGCGCGCGCAATTAAAACATTACAGCGCAACAACACAAAACAAAAACGTGATTTATATTCAGTATTACCTGCGTGTCGACGTCAACTACGGCCATAATGTCGTTGAGGGCTGTTAAAATTTCAACAGCATTAGCTTGTTTACCGCGAGCGTCGAGAACCACTGCATAATTAATCAATATCAACGGATCCTGAGGAGATAAAGCGTGAGCTTTCGTCAAGGACTTTTCGGAACCTTCCAGATCATCCAGACGTTTCAAGGCCACTGAGATCAGGCGCAAAAGTATAATAATAATAATAAGAAGAAGAAGAATAAAGTGCGAGAGAAAAGTGTGTTTTTGCGCAAATTATTTTTATACGCTCTTACTCACGTCCCAGTAACAGATACGGCGTTGGATTTTTTAGTTCCGCGCTAACCGCAGCGCAAAGGTAAACTGCGGCGGACGCGGGTTGACCGGTGGTAAGAAAAACTATTCCCAGATTACACGACGGGACGCACGACATCGGGCTCAAGTAATGCGCCCGTTTCAACGAGCTGATGGCCTGCGAAATATTGCAAAACTATACGTTTCCGTTTTTCGAAACGCCGGGTGTTTTTCCCAGTCGTTCGCGAGTTCACGTAGTTCGAATTATACATCTCTCACATAGAAGAATATTTTCAACACAACAACGAACTGAGAATAATAACTTTTTTTGTGTATGTGTGATATTGCTACACACACGGTGCACACATTGCAATTGTAAATATTGCAATTGTTATTGTAAATATTGTATTGTAAATTTCGCGTATGTACAATGTTTGACTTTCTATACATATTAATAAGGTAAATATTGCTGTTTGAATCGAGATATTATTAATGTAACGTTACACAATATGTATGTGTGTGTGTATTTGTGCGCTATATGAATTTTAACAATATATAACTAGTAAAATTGTAATATGCAACATAAACGATTGTTATACACATGTGCGTTGTGTTCGTGCGGGCAGATGTGCTCTATTTGACGTGTGCTCCTCGCCAGTGAAGCTTCGCAGCAAAAGTTTATCATTTAAAAAATAAGAAGAGATCAAGAAAATATATACACAAGATGACATTAAGATTCCCGACGGCGTAATATTGCGGTTTCTCATTTCAATGTACATTTCTCGAGCAAGGATATTCTCTCTCTCTCTCTCTTTCTCTTTCTCTTTTCTTCTCGTCTCTTCCTGTTCACATTTTTTTCATAATGGATATTACGCGGAACGCGCGGCTACTCTGATGTAAATAAATTCACGAATACTCTTAATTATACGGAGCGTCATTAGTGTTCTTACATCGACGTGAAAACGTTTCAGTTTACCTATATTTCGTTACAAAATTACAAGCAAAACTTGATGCCGTAATGTCGCTATATTAGACCCCGAACGAACGATATACTCGAAAATGTTTGAATCGCATCCATCCCGCAGCAAGCATGTGAAATATCAAATCGCAAATATCAAATTGCAAATGTATCATTTGAATATCTGACGAAACCCGCCACGCTAGATACGGTAATGCAAAACGATCTCGTACAAATGAATATTCTATGTCAAAGCGCCGGTGACTACTGATCGAAAACAAATCAAATAGTAAATAAGAGAGAATTTTTTAGTAAATTGATCTCTTTGTGTTTGTTATCCTCGATTCATTTCGTTCGAGTAACACAAGACCGCGGCCTGCGCGACCATAGAAAAATATGAAAATAAAAACTTGAAAGCTTTCTTCCGCGTATTTTATATAATAGCACTTACTAAATGAAAGAATCATTTCAATGCTTAACTGTATGTATAAATTTCCTTCTTTGTTTCGTGAATAGATATTATCGCGCCGATTCGCCGTAGCGAATCGCAAAGAGTTACTTAAAAAAAAAAAAAAAAAAAAAAAATAAGAACAAAGAGAAGAAAGAAGAAAATAACAACAGACTTACGGCAACGTATTTCTGTTTTCCGTAAAGACACATTCCAATGTTATTCCACAGAGCTGAAGACTCCGGAATGGTTTGCGCTGCCACTTTGTATTTCGATAATGCCACGTCGTGCTCTCGATGATTCTGATAAAAAAGATATGACAGTTACAAACATTGTCAGCGAAACGATACGTAGGGAACAGGTAACTTTCTTTTTCTAGCGTGCGCACAGATTGAAATTATTTTATGTACTACATTTGATGTGTACCACGTTTCACCGTGTAGGTTTTTTTAAATAGTAATTTTTATTAGCACGCACATAAGAGGGTGCTCGTATTATCTCTCTTTCAAACCAAGACAAAAAAAAAACAAAGCGGAATTAATTGGACAATATTTATTTTACGTTGTTTTTGAATTTTTTATGACAAAAATTTGAGAAAAAAAAAGAAAAACAGATTTTTCTGAGAGAATCCTATCCGAATCAATCACTTAAAATCGTAGCAACGAAATTTGTAAGTTTTAAACCTTTCTATTTTACAGCGTCATTTTTTGACATTTCTAATGTTTCTCTCGGTGTGTGTTTTTAAATAAGACGTGTAACACATTTCGCGTGCCACCAGTGGTTAACCTCCCTCGCGAGATATCATAAAAGATCCCACGCACGTAAAGGCAAGATAATTAAATCTTTATCACACGGATGCGCGGCAACATATCGTGGTACGTAATGCTCCTGCAAATATTTGCAGCGCGAATCAGGATGAAAATATGTTTCGCAAAGCTTCTTTCGCGGAAGTTTCTCATTTAATTATAAAGTAAGCAACGAGAGAAATAGTGTCAATTTTTTTTCCTCCGCGAATTTTTCTATATCCGGCGAGAAAAGAAATTTAATTTCTCGCGTGGTATTGCAACAAAACAAACGCTGGATGTAATGAGGGAACGGGATGGAATTCGTAAGATGTTGATGAATGGTGATTTCTCGGAAGTCAATTAATGCGCACCTGCATTATGTAAGCCATTGGCAGAAGCGCTTTGACGCAATTCGGCGAATGAGCCAGAGCTGCTCCAAATTGTTGAAATGCTCTTTGCGCATCTCCAATTCTGAGATACAAAAGACCCAGTTCCGTCGCAGCATCAATGCTCTCGGGATTTCCGCTGGAAAAAAAAAAAAAAAAAAAAAAAAAAAAGGAACAAGACCGCGCGAAATTAATTTCGAGATGCAACATCAAATGTAACTGTAATGCGTGAAAGATTACACAAGAGCACGAAAATTAAAACATGACAAATTTGTATAAAAAATAAAATTACGCAAAACGCGTGCACTCCGCGTAATTAATTTAAACAAACGTTATTTAAAGAAATTAAATAAGGCCGATACAGGCAGTATATACCAGATGGAGGTGTATAAAAAGAATTCTTTATTCAAAAGATCAAACGTTTCGATCCGTAATTTGGACCTTCCTCAGTGTAAAAAGTTATTTACCTGAGAGCTGCGGTGTAAGCGTTTCTAGCTTCCGGAATCATGTCTTCTGAAAGATAAAGTCTCGCGAGAGCGAGATGGGGCAGTTCATTTTTCGTTAATTCGGTTGCTCGTTTGAAGTGCTTCTTACCGTCTTGAAACAAGTTCAGTTTTGCATAAGCTTCGCCTAAACGATAAACGACACTGCTCAATAATATTGGAAAAAAAGAAAAAAAAAAACAATTTTGTTATAAAATCACATCAAAAAAGGAGATGGGATTTTTCACACAGACGGATGTGCAAGTATAACAAATCAACGTAACGTTCTCTTTATATACAGAAAAATATAAAATGAAACGCAATGTTTTTTTTTTAACTCGGTTCGTGCTGTTTGCGAGTTCATAAAAGTTTCATGAAAACTTCCCTAATACGATACACGAGTTTTGTGCACAAACAACAACGTCGAAGAACAACTTGCCGAGACCGTGATATATTTCCCAATCCGGCAAATTGGATATTTTCTCAGCTTCCGTGTACGCGTCTATAGCGCGCTTATGACTACCCATTATAAATCTGCATGGCACATAAAATTATACCTATATACGTTATCGTTTTTATTAACAAAATGACCTGGAACAGAGGTCAGTATTTCACGCGATCGATACACACTACTTACAGCGACTTCGCGATCTGTTTCACATTATTAACGTTTGTCGGGTTCACGTTGTACGCCGTTTGAAAGCAATCCAACGAATCTTGTATCTTACCTTCTTTTCTGAGAATTAAACCCTGTGGGGATAAAAAAGTTTGTAAATCTCACAAAGTGCACAACGGAAGAAAAGTATCAGCGCAGTTTTTCCTCGGTTTATAAATTTATTTTTTTTCTCTCTCTCTCTATTCTTCTTCTTTCTAGTTTTCGTTAAAAAAATCATAAACCGTAAACGTACGATCCGTACAACCATCCACAATAACCGACGCAAAAGATTGTCGAGATTTTCCGCTAATTGCATCCGCACAGATTTCCTAACGAAACTATTAGCGAGAACGCGTTTTGACAAAGTTAGTTAATTCTAATTTCAAACAATCTCAATAAGTTTCTTGAATCGCAAAGATGTCAATAAATTCATTTTGTTTGAAATTTCCTTCGGAAATAAAGTTAATGGCTAAAAGGATCGATAGTTTAAATGAAACGCAAATATTTTTCGTTATCGCTACGCGTCTTCTCCGCTATAAACGTTTTTACATGTACAGGCGAAAAACAACAAATGTCGTTTTTATACAAAACACATGCACGTCCGTTTTATATATATATCTTGCATTATTTATAACGTTTATAACGCGTATATCCGTCCGGATCACACTCCCGGATAATATCGAAAATGTGAGAATGAATAAAACGTCAAAACAATTGTGGGCGGTTCTCGCGGTGACGAATAAGCGATAAAACACATCGATTCACACCGCGTTCATTTTTCTAAAATCAAATGATGCCGAAACAAATCGCGAAAATGAAATACGAAACGCTCTATTAAAGAGAGAGAGATGCTTCATCGCGCTCGATGCTTGTCACATGTCACCTTTAAATAACTAGCGTATTCGTGACCGTCTGATTTCGTCAATTCCTGCTCGATGAGCAACTTGCAAGCGCCGTACTCGTGTCTCGTGTAATGTCGATGCAACAGCCAATTGCGACTCTCGACGGACGGTATTTCCGGAGCTGAAAAAGAAAAAAAAATGACGTTCTTACTCTCAACGTGAAAGAAAAAAAAAAATAAATAAATAAACATTCGACACGCGCGTGTGTATCGAACTATTTAAGTGTAAATTAAGTCTCTCGCAGTAAGAAGCGCGAACTCACGGCGCGAGAAGTTCTATCTCTTTGCAAAAAAAAAAAACTTGTTTATCTCTTAACTCTCGTCTAGTTGAAACGACTTAAATAATAATAATCCCATAAGTACGTTAGCGAAGAGTTTTGTTAGGCGATCGCTCATCGGTTTATTCGAGTTTATCCTCCATTGAATCGCTCAACAAGTTTCGTTTATTTTCCGAGCCAGAACAAAATTAAAAAAAAATTTTATTTAAAAAAAATTTATGTTATCACATAAATACACGCGCGATGGCTGATTTAACTTTTTTTTTTAATTTGTTTATATTTGGATTGTACCAAGCACTGTAAAATTAAAATATAACACGTGATTAAATTTTAATTTCTATAAAACCAACCCCCAAGAGATGCGTTTTGAACGTAATATAAAAAAAATAAGAAAGCCCGCCGACGCGTCTCGGTTTAGGGATGAAGCTTCGAAATTCGCAAAGAAGATACCTTTCTTGTCTCTGTTGCTCCTCGCCCGTTGGTGTATAGCTGGTGTATTTTCCTGCAAACGGCCATTGCTAAGAGCGACATCGTTTGCCATTTTTTGTTTTTCTCTCTTTCCAATTCGATATAACAATCCCCCGTTTTCTGCTTTGCGCGTCCCGCACCTCGCTCGTTCGAATTGTTTTTATACGAGCTCTGTATATTCGAGAAAAAAAAATTAACACGCACACCGGTTGTGTTACCGTTGTTTGATTGCCATGGTGACCGGACGAAGAGTTGCACTTGACGTAAGTTGATTGCAAACGTAGCCGAAAGATGTCGCTAGCGTAGCGTCAGAAACGTCAAACGTTCGCCGTTCGTTGTGTATTTGTGTACGAGAGAGAGAGAGAGAGAGAAAGCGGATGAGAGAGCGTGTGTACACACGAGGAAAATGAGATATATCGGGGAAGATCGATTGTGTCGTAATCAGCTGTGATTGTTCTTTACAAACAATATCGACAAGATCGACGATAAAAAAGAAAAAAACAAAAAAAAAAAAACGTACAAAGAAGAAAGCAAATGCCGTCGCTATGCGTTTCTGTGACGATATAACGACGCTGTTGTCAAATGTGATAACACACGCTGCTGACGCACCTGTTATCACTTGCGCTTCAAGATGTAGGCGGACGCACCGATACGCGACGCGATAACTCGACACTGCGATCCGACGTGCGAGTTCCGCGCGGCTCCGGGGACACAATCGACAGTGTCGCGACGAACACTTGTTTTTTTTTTTTTTTTTACCAAAACGTTTGAAACACAGTTGTGTTGAAGATCAATCAAACGAGTACGTGGCTCGTCAGCGTGAGACAATGTGATGTGAAATTTAATCGTCGGCTGGAACCGGGGCCGCAATAACAGCCGGTTAGGGTTATGTTATCTCTCTCTGTTGAAGTGATGATGAATTGAGAGGATCAAAACGCGTTCGCTTATCGCTCTCCCCGACACCTGTTAGCGCGAATTTCACACTCGCGCGTTCCCAACGCTTCACACGTCCCGATCCGCGTAAGACCTTGCGCATTTTCCTGGTAATTTTGTTGCACGATCTCGAACGAGAGAGAGAGAGAGAGAGATAGAAAAAAAAACGAAGAATGTGTGTGAAAAATGTATATTTCAATTTCAATTCTTGACGTCACATTTTTTTATTTACTTGATTGTATGATTGCAGAGTAATAAAAAAGAAAAACAACACTGTTGCGTCATTTTTACAGGAACGGTCGTCGTTCACAAGCGTGATAAACACAAGAGTTTAAGCCAAGAATGAGCTGTTCCGTTGAATTGCGTCAGCGCAGGCCGTCAGGGATGGCGGAGGATCCTCATAAACTCGCAGCGATGATGAATAAATCTCAAAGACTTATACTGGGACTTTTGGTTCTACTACTGGTCGATATAATTTGGGTTTCCAGTTCTGAACTCACTAAAGTAAGACTTTTTCTTCTACCAGGTGCGATCTCTCTCTCTCTCTCTCTCTCTCTCTTTCTCTCTCTGCTTGTATTTGTTGTTTACTGTGTTTAGTTTTCTGTCAGATAGATTGCGCATTTTTCTGTGTGTGTACATTTGTACATTATGTTACAATGATAATATATTTTGTTTCAGTACATTTACAGGGATGCAACTTTCGAAAAGCCATTTTTTAGCACATACATAAGAACATCTATGTTTACACTTTATTTGCTCGGCCTATGCTTCTGGCCACCCTGGCGAGAACAATGCAATAAACCTGCAACATACATGGTATTTACCAAAGTTTACAGAGTCACGCGACGAAAGTTGTTTTCTTTTTTTTTTTCTTCTTCTTATTTCTTTCAAACGTTTGTCTTATTGACCATGTTTGGCAGAACTTTGTGCTTAGCGAGCGCTTTATGCTTTGTTGTTTGTGAATGGCCTATTTTCTCTAAAATCTATCGTGCAAATCCAATTAGCCATTCACATGCAATAAACACAAAACACCCTGGTAAACGCTTGGTTCTGCTGAACTTGGCTATTTTGTTTCAGTTTATAGATCCCAATGTTGAGGATGACAACTTCTATCCCGAGGCCAATACGAGCCTAGTAAGCATAGCATGTGTAAATTAAAAGAGAGATTACAGCTGCCAATCTATCTAACAATTAACTTGATTCGTTACAGAGCGACCCGACGTTTGTTCCAATAAAAACTCCAGATCATTGTGATCGCTCCTCGGGTACGGAGAGTGACGATTCGTCTATACGTTCTGTGAGATTTAGTAAACTGGCGGAGGTACGTCACATGTCGGAAAGCGATGCCACGGAGGCTTTATTGGCGCGACTTAGTTATCAAGCCAGTATTAGAGCTGGCGAACACGCTAGGCGACAAGCAAATAAATTTTCTGTACAAAAAGTGGCGAAAATAGCTCTCATGTTTTGCCTATTTGTAAGTAACGCGATACGAAATTCAATACCGTGTTTTTTTTTTTTTTTTCTTATCGAACATTTATACATGTACATGTATGTATGTGTTATCGATAATTATTATTATTTTTTTTTTTTCCAGTGGCTCATGGCAAATTACACATACCAGATATCATTGGAACAGACTGAAGCTAGAATTGTGACCGTTTTGTCCTCGACATCTAGTTTATTCACGTTGTTTCTTGCTGCGTTTTTTCCTAGCAACGGAGGAGATAAGTTTACGTTGTCCAAGTTAACCGCTGTATTTGTTAACATCCTTGGATTAGTAAGTTGTGAATTTTTTTTTCTCGCACGTTTTGATGTTGCGATTACATAAGAATGGAAAATTTTAGTTTAAAAAAAAAAAGCAAAAAAAAAAAACAATTTATAATATAATAGATATTATAAATATTAATATTAATAGAAATCCGAGGTCTTTCTCTCTCTTAGCACATACTTGCCAACTAGTTATACAAGAGTTACATAAATATGTACATAAGAATATGTATGAATATGTATAGAAAATATGTATGTAATCTAAAAAAAAAAAGAAAAAAAAATTTTTCCTTTATTTGCAGGTTTTAGTCGGTCTTTCCGATTTAACTGTTGAAAATAGTAATATGTCAACGGGCATAATACTAGCTCTAGTCAGTGCTTTTTTCTATGCTGCATATATTGTATTTTTAAAAAGAAAAGTAGACCACGAAGACAAAATGGATATACCAATGTTTTTTGGTTTTGTGGGAATATTCAACTTGACGCTTCTCTGGCCTTTATTTTTTATTCTTCATTATGGCCATTGGGAAGAATTTGAATGGCCCAACAGTCACCAGTGGACATTTATAATCATAAATGGCCTGATTGGTACTGTTTTGAGTGAAGTTTTGTGGCTATGGTAATTTTTATAATTTATAATAATATAATACTTTGTGTAAGATTCTCTCTGTGTGTGTGTGTGTATATGTATACTTTTTATATCTGTAGGGGTTGTTTTTTGACGTCGTCTCTCATTGCAACAATGGCTGTTAGTTTAACAATGCCGATGTCAATGGTAGCCGATGTTCTCTTGAAAAAAGTTGAATATCCTTGCATTTTCTACTTGGGAAGCATTCCGATGTTTTTGGCATTCCTTATGGTATCCCTTTTATCTTATTACGATAACTGGGATCCTGTTATGGATTTGATAAAGAGGTTTTACGTCTGGATTTGCAGAAAAAATAATCGATCAGCAAGGTAAAGTGCAATCGACGTAACAATGTTAAGAGCGAAGAGTCGCCAAATTGTCGACGACGAACTTAATATTTCGATGTTTCACTTTCAGAATTCCCGATCTTGAAGCAGAACAAACCGAGTCTTTGATAGGAATAGATGGCGGTGATCATGAAGCATAATAAGACAATAATTGAGTTGAAAACGAGATTAGATCGTCTCGTTGTCATCTCATCGTGTTACGTGTATTAATCGTAAATAAGGACTTAATTAATGAGCACATGATTCTTATATGTGCTAGCCTTCATCGATCATGAACATCCCGTCTTTATTCATCTCAGTGTAAGTTGTTTTTATCGTTACGGAGTTACATAACAGTAATCAAGATTCTACACGTTCTCTTCATTCGTGTCACTTTTACTGATCTTTATTTCTTCTGCGCTAAACACAAAAGAGTATTGATATTACTGCCGGACAATAACGTATTTGCGAATCAATTTGTAAACACAAAATACGATTAACAGGCGCTTTATTTGTTCGAACTCATTGCGCATCTCTCGGAAACTACCTCTTTGCATTTCGTACCAAGTCCTGTGAGAGAAAACATTGTTTTTCGTAAACAAACCGTACCTACTTGTAAAGATCCAGGTATGTAATTGTTGTCTCGAGACTCTATAGCTTCGGATCTTGACGCTCTTGTATTCTATTGCGCAACTGAATTCAAAGAGCAAATAAATCAGTGTCTTTACTGAAATTACCTGTACATAATATATGTAATAAGAGTTGGTTGAAAAACAAAAAAAAAATCAAAGAAATATTTGTTTGTAAAATTGTACTTTTCCTAAACAATAATATTTTTTATGCTATTAAGGCTTTATATTATTGTAACAATGCGTTGATTACTCTATAAAATAACCTATCGAAGTCACAGATGGCGTATCTCGACACGTAGCAAAGAAGCTTTCACGTAAATTTCACGGGAAATTACTAACACACACACACACATACACACATTCCTGTACTTATTGTTTTTATAATATTCGGATATAAGTTAGACACACAAAACTATACATTATAAAATGTGAGATATAGCTTCAATAAGAATGAATGAAAAACGCTAAATACTTTTGGACCAATTAAAAATTTTTGATGACAAAAAAAAAAGACGTCATCGTGTAGAATAAGAGATCGACAGAACGAGATCGAAATTTTACATTCGACGTGAATAATACAATTCGATTTACATTATATACATATATATATATATATGTATATATATACAGAGTGTCCCGTAATTGCCGTCTCACCGCTTGTAGGCAGATAGAAGGGGTTTTTTTTAAGACGAAAAGTCCTATACCACTTTGGAAGATTTGCAATAATTAACGAAATATTAATTAATAAAGATCCGCTAATCAGCGTGCATTCAGGACAGCCCAGTCTATCGCGCCGATGCGACGGAATGGGAGGACTTAATAGAATAACATGTGCGTACATAGACAGCATATAGATTGCGTTCGGGCAGCGCGACAGACTAGGCTGTCCTTACGCTGGATGCACGCTGATTAGCGGATCTTTATTAATTCATATCTCATTAATTATTGCGAATCTTCCAAAGTGGTATAGGACTTTTCGTATTAGAATAACCCCTTCTACCTGCCTGCGAGCGGTGAGACGGCAATTACGGGATACCCTGTATCCCGTATATATGTTTGGAAAATCTAGTCAAAGCTTTATCGGCTCATGTTTCGCACGGACACGTGTATGTAATTACTTTAATTTGTTGTGGCAGAGATTCTGATTACACGCAAAGTAAATTACAAATCATTTTCCTTTGCTTCGAGATAATTAATGCGCACAAATATGTCGTACGTTGTGTTCAATTACAGTAAACGAGGTATGATACAATATATTTGCAAGGTTTAAGTGAGACAAGTATGTGAAAGAGGAGAACTGTGAAACATGAACTGTATTAATTTCAAGACTTTGATATTTTGGACAGGGGGTAATAGTAGTATTAATTTGTATTATATATATATATACTCAAAATGAAAAAGAAAACGAACAGAAAACGTGAGAAATAACTGTAAAGAGAAAGTAAACACAACGTAATGCTTTTTTTTTCGCATCTCTTTGTGGTATACGATCGGAAATCTCTCGATTTTCGATTATTACTGTCGATACTGATCGACGACTGATCTCACATGAATTAAACAATGTGTTGGTACCATCTTGTATTCTAATCACAAGTATCTCCAAGTTTTTGTAAAAAGAAACATAAGAATAAGAGAGAAAAACAAAAAAGAAACCATATATATTTATATATACACGCTAAATAGTATAATAATCACAAGATAATCTATTAAAAAAAAAAAATTAAAAAAAACAAAACAAAATAGCAAGAAGGAAAAAGTTTAGAAATTGAAAACGGGGAAAAGCAAACGATAAGATTGAAAGAATGAACAGTCACGATGTGTCAGTTAGATCAATGATGTGATGTGATATAATACAATAAAAGAAAATTATAATGCGCAAAACTTACACATTAGCATAACTGTTAACACGTTGACTGTCACTTGAGAAATCTGTCGATTGTTTCGCGGAGATGTGTAATATTGTCATAACTATCAGTTTTTGTTTTTATTGTTGAGTCGAGAATCTGTGTTTTATCAGATCATGATTCATTGCTGTTTATCCACCGACTTTATTGACAATTCGGAGTGACTATTGTGTAATTTTTCCAGATTTGATTGTTATCAAAATTGTTCTATTTTTTTTTGTTATCCAAACAGAAAACAATGAATAAAATGAATAAAATAAAATAATACTCGCTCGTGTTGTAAAAACAATATTAAGAATATTTAACAAAATGAGGTCAATATAATATGTGATATTGACCTTATTTTGTTAAAGAAAACAATGAAATTTATATATTTCCATCGAAATCAATTTCGAACAGTTTCACAATAGCTACGCCGTATAGAAGTAATTGTCTCGAGTCAAGAGTTTGTTCATTATACTTGTTTGTTATAAAGATGTGAAATATTATATGTATAACCGGCTCACACACGCGCATTGTGGCGGTCAATGTATTTTTAAGTAAATAAGTAGCAATTGATCGTTCCTGCATAAATGTTATAACCAGACTTGAAATTCAATTTTATGTGTTGATCTGTATATGTGTAGAATAGAAAAAAAAATACTTTGTTATTATGTCTACTATATACATATATATATATACACATACACGCCAGGATTTGATATAATATATGTATATATATATATATACATTTGTTAGTAAATTATGTAAACTGGATGTGATCTCTCTAACTCACTCACTCACTCACTCACTCACTCACTCAATTCAAAAATTCTAAGAAATGACACACTCAATCTTTTTTCCGAACTACATTCAAGACTGGCTATAACTACTGTTTATTGTATATTTCATGTAAATATAATGCGATCTAAAAAGTTAACTCTTGCGATTGTATATATACACACACACACAAATATTATATAAAAAATTATGTGATAATAAAGCATAATCCTCGAGGACGAGATGTCTCGTATTTGTGTCTAATAACATTTTACAAATGTGTGAACGAGGAACAATTTTCCAAGACAATTGAGTCTCGACAAACAGCAATACAAGACAACTTCACAATTTCACTTCGGTAAAGGGATTCCGCACGTGTAGATTTTCCTTTGAAGAACCATGTGATTGATATGCACAATTGCGACACGCTCGTGATTTGGATTAATACGTCACGTTCCGTTTTGATGAAGCAACGCGACGTGAACGCAAATTCTAATGTCCACAATTCCATTTGATTCGCGATATGGCGTACGATGGCAAAACGAGTGCGCTCGAGTTACACATTAGAGGTAAAAAACTTTTGAGAAGCTCGTTATCATATTTAAAAAAAAAAAACAAACAACCTAATCTAACCCCACGTACAAAGCTTTTTAATTGTGCTTCTTTTTTTTTTTTAGTAAACGGGCAAAATTTACCAGCAAACTCGGAAAAATGTTCCGCCAACGCGTTACGGTAATGATTGCTTGTGTTATAATTGCGTTCGAGATTTTAATGTCTCTCTTCACGAAATTCCTGGACCTCCCCTTTTCCCTTAGGCTTCCCAACGATCCGTCTTGGCCGAAAATACCCGCGCGTCGTTTACTCAATAACACTAACGACATTATTAAACCTCCGTATGTAGTTACTTTGACAGGAACTCCCAGAAAAGGTCGCAGTGTAGTGCGAACCGTTACGTGTCAGTAAGTTTTTCAAGTTCTTTTTTTTCAACTATATATATATATATTCGTAAATCGTCTCTACGAATCAATATTGACCATAACTCTCTCTCTTCTGCAACTTCCGTTTTCATTTCACACCTCATTTTTTACTTCAGGCCTGCGAAATCGAGTAAAAGATGCGAAACGCACGTGCCGAAGAGATTGCCCAGTTTCGTCGATCCGCGTTTCAAACGGTATTGCGCATTTCGAGAATTAATTCTCAACCTCAAGTTTCGCGGCAAACGCTACGACACCTCGCAGTTCTGTGTGTGTCGAAATTAATTTAACTTGTGTGATTTGGAAATCTACCAGACGGATAACGCGCGAAGAGGCCGAGAAACCGGACGAATCTTGCCTCGCAACAAATGGGAAACAAATGTCAGATTGGAATACTGATGTTTCGCAAGAAATCAAAGAACTTGACGAAGCGGAAAAGGAAATACGGAATAAAACCGCGCGAGATTACGCGCTCCCGCACGAAGCAGATAAGGACTTGGAAAGCGATGCACAACCGGTGAGAGAAACCTCTGATTACTCCGTTAAAGAACAGTGTAATTTGGAAACACGTTACTGTTCGGGTAAGTTTTCACCTACTTGATTACATATGTAATCCACGACTTCTTCGCGTAAACTGCGATTATTCCGAATCGTTCAATCGAAACAACGTCCTGATGATGGTCACGAACTCGTCTATCCGCAGCTTTGCAGCGCAACGAGCGACAGAATCCCGAAGAAGACGGACTGTCTCATCAACAAAAACAAGTGAGTCGCGTGTAAATTAATCATCGCAGTCGTTGTCGCAAAGAAATCTAAACGGTACAAGCGTTAGTGATGTCTTTTTTCACGTTCAGGAAGCTAATAGACTGCTTTTAATGATTGACGAGAAGACGCGAACGTTGCCCATTAACGCGCTCAATGTAGAACCTGCTCCCTCTTTATCCGCGCTTTATCAGCCACTGGCAAATTACAGCATACAAATTCCTGTAGTCACTTATCACAATGTGCCTTTGCAAATACCGAGTATGTCCGCGCAAGTGCGCGATGTGAGGATCCCGTGCGAGTGCATGAAAGAAAAACGAGAAGACAGCGTCGGAGACGTTTCGACACTGGCCAAGGAATTTGAAGACAATCCTCTTAATGGTTTAATAAATTATTTAATCAATTTTTCTTTCGTCTCATTGGCGAGATAAAAACACATTCGGGATTTTTTATCCGGTTTTCAGACAGTCGCCAACACAAGGTGAGAAACAGCGACGAGACTTTGGCGCGCGAGAACATTAATTCGAACGTGTCGTTATTGAATCAAGATACTATCAAAGACAACGCGATCAAGAATCAGCGTGGAAGCTTCGATTCGACGGACAATGCGAGAAACAATCAACTGAATTTAAGTGTCTCCGCGAGACCGGAACTATTGACGTGTCAAGTAAAAGATGAGCGAGTCGACACAGACGAAATTGCGACGAACACAATGAGCGAGAAAGCGTTGCCGAACGATTTGCAGGATTCCGACAAAGTTAACAGCAAAGAACGCAACGAGGAACCGCGCGAGAACGTGCGCGTTGGTCTGAAACGCAGAAAGTTGAATCTGTCGAAGAAGGCGAAGTCGTTTCTTCGAAAGAAATCACGTTTGGCGATCGCCGATTCCGATTACACGCTGGTTATGCCCGGTCCACGCGTCAGAAGTAAACAATCTTACAAACTTTGCGGACGTTCGAAAGTAAGTCTCTCTCGTCTGAATAAAGTAAGTAATGGAATAAAGTTAATGTGAGTTAGTTGTGATGAGTGTCGCGACGACACACCCCCGTGTAAAAACTTTCTTGAACGCATTCCGAAACAGAGCGGAATAAACTCTCGTTCGTTGACGAATGTCCAAGACGAAAACACGTTCGAGACACTGTCGTCGATTCCTCTCGAGACTCAAGAACTGTTGAAAGAGAGTTATTGGGAGTATTACAGAGGACTCAGACGCAAAATCGCGCTTAGTCAGAAGTCAGAAGTCGCGAGACGGGAGAAAGAACCTCAGGAATGTTTGCCCGAGTCTCGAACGTTGCAACAATGTTCCGTGCTGTCTTGCAAGATTAACACGACGCTTCGGGATCCGACGATAGTCGACGAGAAGAAGTTGATCTCGGTCTCGGCTGCGAATTTATTGCGAAGAAAAAGGAAACGAGCACTGAAGCGCACGCGATTGCTCGTACTTAAAACTATAGGTAGTATAAAACGGTTCTTAAATAATACATGTGTATGTGTTTTTCCGTGCTCACTCGGACAATAGACCAAAAAAAAACTTGATTTAAGATTCTCGTTAGATGTGAGAAAAACTGGAAAACGGAGAACAACGCGTAAACATGTCGAAACGATTTGTGTTAACAAAAATCACATTTCTCAACATTTTTCTAGCATTTCTCGGTATCACGGTGTCCGTTGCGGTCATATTTCTGCCTATGATGTACGAGTATTTTTTTGAGGAAGAACACGACGAAGACGAGAACTTGAGTTACATCGAACTAACGATGTGCTGCATCACGTCGTTCCTTCAAGAAGCATTCGGTGGAATTTTCGACACGTTCAACACATTTTTCTTACGTCCAGTAAGATCTCATCGAAAGTTCTAACGTTCTTCTCCCTCCTGTTTTTTTTTTTTTTCTAACGCAAAAACTTGTTAAATTTTATAGAGAGAAAAGGATTTGCTTCTTTTTTTTTTTACAACAAAAATTGCTACAAATATTCTGTGTGTCGTTTTCAGCGTTCGTGTGACAAACAATGTAACGGCGCCATTTGAATTTGTATCTTCGCGCGTTCTTATTTGTGACGCGTGTTTCGTTATTTACATTTATATTGATCTTTTTTCGACGTACGTGTTTTGGGCGTTTGTATTTCGATTTTCGTATTGTACATCATCTACATCGAATTTTCTCCTTTGTTTTGTTTCTACTAATACTACTTTTCTCACTCGCGCGTATTGTGTAGTCTGAACGTTTACACGATTGTAATATATTTGCGATTAAACTTTTATTTTCAGTCTAAATTGAACTTCGATTTTGTGGCTTAATTCTAACGATACATTTGTATTTAAATTTTATTTCGATTCGTAATATTAAATTAAATAATTAACGAACCAGAGAGACGTTCGGGTTCGTCCATTGGCAAATCGAAATTTTTACGTCTCCTATAAAATATCTATTGATATGCGATAAGACTATTAGTTTTTATAAAAAAACTGAAGAAGAATCTGAAGAAGACATTATTTTTCGAACATTCAACGCGATAATGATTTTTTTTTTTAATGGAGATATTTCCAGGACTTTTCATTTTGTGAAAAAATGAACATATTTCATCGTGTAATATCTACTGATATGTAATAAGGCTGTTACTTTTTTTTGGAACAAGAGTATTCGTATTTTATATTTCTGGTGTCTCTCAAAGAGAATTTTCAGCATTTTTCGTCGTGTTTGATCCCGAGTACCCGCGCATATCGGATTTACTGTGTGTCCGTGTGCGAAAGTCAATAGAGTCACAACGATTGGACGAGGAAGTGTGTTGACATTTTTATTTTCTTTTAAGACCTCCTCGATACCTCGCGGGCATCTTCGATTTTATGACGTCAGAAAAATGAGAAAAATCAAGGAAAATCGCGCGCTTTTATTTAAAAAATAAACAAACCCTTCTGTGCAAACGCACGTAGACTCAATAGAGTACATTTGTAAAATATGACGAACGATTTTTCCTACTGACTCAACACAAAATCATTTCAATATAAAAATTGAGTTTGAAAAATATAAAGCTTTTTACAGTGTGTCACTAAACCGATCCGGTTTATATTTCACGAGTGCGCTCTATTGATAGAATTTATATATGCGTGCGTTTATACAGAAATATTCTTTTATTTTCAAAAAAAAAACGCACGAAAATTTCGCAATTTTCCTTCTCTCTAAAAATGCACGAGATCCAAAATCATCGCGGAAATATAAAAAATTGAAGAATTTGAATTAAACCATTCCCGATATAACATTTGTTTTCACTTATAAATGTTATTAATTCGAATAATTTGTGTCACTTAACGAGACTCGCTTAACGAAACATAAAAATTTAAATTTTTAACGTATCGCAATTTGTTTCGCATATAATATGTATACAAAAACAAAAACAAGCAACAAACCTCTACGAGAGCCTCTTCAAAACACATGCACATATAGTTTTACACGAGTACCGCTAGATAGCGTCTATTGTTCGTCTTCCTCTCTAATCATTTTGTTTACCAAATGAGTTCGCCCTCGGTGATATTTGGGTGCAGTACGTCCTTCATATTTTTCTAATCAAAAAATACGGAACGCATGAGTGTTTTTGACTGGCTAAACGTTCAAAACATCAAAGTCAAAAACAAATATAAATCAAAGTTTTTTATTATCCTTGTTATTTCGCGTTATCTATCGCTAGGTGGCACGCGCCCGGAGTGCGTCGGCTGTGTTACACGCGTGTGTCTCGATAAAAAAAAAAAACCAATTCTCTCGAAATACACCAGGACGTTTCCGGACAAACGAACGGATTGAGATTTGTTTATATAAAACACACTCGAACGGAATCAAGCAGATTCAAATCCCGCTAAACAATCAACAAGATTCGCACGATTTGAATGCCGTGTAATTGTGTAAGTACGGAATGTCGGTGTAATGTATGTTACAATATTTCGAAAAAGAGAGAATTCAAATCTGAGTAGACCGCAAACAAATGTACATAAAAAACTTCAATTAATGTTATATTATGTAGATATTATTGATATCATGTTTGTTTTTTGACGGTACATTGAATAAATTAATGAATATAAAAGTAACTTACTTACCGGCGTATACATATTTAAAACATGACGCGTATTTTTACTCAGGTTAGGTTCACTCCGATAATTTCTATCTGTGTCTAGACGCTCCATCTTTTTTAAATAAAGTTTACTATATATATATATACATATATATGATATAATATAATATAATATAATATAATATAATATTACATACACATCCTACTAGAAAATATATATACGTTTATCCAGATCTGCGCGCGCGCGCCGGTAATAGTCGCCGGTAATAGTCGCGCCACTGCGCATGCGTGAAGTTTGCTTCGCGCCTGAAGACACTAGCGTCAGTCAGTAGCAGCTGACCGACGGGAAGCGTTTGGAGCGGTTCGGTCTGTTTCGTCTGGCAGGTCCTCGTGCTCGTGCGCGTGATTATTCGCACAACACTCTTGTGTCGTATATCGACGATACGTCGCGTTCGGCGTCTGTACGCGTTCAAGAGTGACCGAGAAACTCTTCGAGGACGTCGCACAACGATCAATTCGAGGAACTTGCACACCACGTTGTCGATTGCGAAACGGTGAAAGGCGCGCGGGACGAAGAACGACGACGACAACGACGCGGCCGCCGACGACGACGACGACGACGACGACGACAACGACGACGAGACACCGACAACGAAGGAACTGCCACGGTCACGGGAACACCTGGTGAGTACGAGACAGATCATCATCTTGTGCGTGTCCTCGTTTTCACGCGATTCCGATCGCATTCCGCGCCGGACTGAGATTTTACCGCGGTTTCGACGTTTCGAATTTTGCCGTTTTTTTTTTTTTACAATGCAAAAACTTTTAAAACATCGCTAAATAAAAAGATGGTTTTTCGTGTGTCCTCGCGCATTCGTACAGTAAACAATTATTATTTATTTATATATGCTCATGAGAGAGAGAGAGAGAGAGAGAGAGAAAGAGATGTGACAGCGAGAATAACGGACGCGACTGTGAACAACGCGGCGTGTCGACGCGGCGGCACGTCTTTTTAAAATTGGAAAACGGATGACGCGTCGCCGCGGTACATGTGCGTACGTGCGTGTGTGTGCGTGCACGTAGTCGCGCGCACGCGAGATTCCCGTGTTCTCACGGGTTCGGGGTGACTGACACCTGATGCGTCGATGACCACGCTCTGTGTAAAAGAGACAGAAATATTCCGACTGGCGCGTCTCCTTCCCCCCTCCCTCCTTCCGTGACACACATTCCTCGTCGCGCGGAAATATATTCGTGCGTAAAAAAAAAAAAGAAAAAAAAAACTCGCGACGCGCGGTCATCATCTCGACGATTGTGTCTCGTGACACAATAGTCGTGTAATCAAAACGAGAGGAACTGTCGTTGCGTTACGTGACGGTACGCTCTTTTTCACACACACACATACACGCGCGCGCCTGGGCGTGGGGGAAAGCAGCGGAGATCGGGGAAAGAGTCAGATGGCGTCGCGTTCATGCGCAAAGGGCAATTCGAGCGACGCGCGCTTTCTTGGAAGCGTCTTGCGAAGACGTATTGACGGGTAAAAAAAAAAAAAATTTTGCAATTCCTCTCGTTGAAGAATGACGAGCTTTTAACCGATCGTTTGTTTCGCCGAAGAGATTGGATTCTTCCGCGAACGAGATGTCGCAATCATTTCTCTCTCTCTCTCTGTCTCTCTCTCGTGTCTTGATGACCGTTTTGAACGTGAGACGATGCGAGAGATATTCGAATCCGCTATCGTAGCCCATACGTTACTAGACACCCGGCACCGGAGTTATCTCCCCCGTCTTGTATTAAAATAGATAACAACGGCCACACAGATCTCTGTCTGTGGTAAGTAAATTAATGCCCGCAGAGTTTACACATTAAGTACCTTAATGCGTATGTGTGTGCGTTTAAAAGCTTGCGTACATATATTCGGATAATGCTGTTTATATACAATCGATGTTTGAGTATCTCTGGCTGAAATGTCAGATGTTGACCGCGAAAATTTTAAACCTGACGTGCGCATCTCAGGAATGCGAGGTGCCGAAACGTATCGGTAGCGAAATTAAATTAACACGTTTCGCGCAGCTTGGATCGAGCTTACTCTGAACTTTCTTTCAACTGTTCAAGTTTATTAAAAAATTTTAAATTGGAATCTTCGAAAAATGTTTTGGAAAATCATACGCGTATCGATATCTAAATAACATATATATATATATTATCGTAACGTAGATCGTTCACGTCTAACGCGACGTGACGATTATTTTTTTTCCGATCGGAAAGTAACCGAAAATCGATCCGGCACGGAACGTGTTGCAGAGTGCGCGCACAGTAAGGCGGCGCAATATATTTATATGCATTTATTCTACGCTATTCTGTCACTTGCGAACGTATATCCAATTTTGAAACGATGAATATTAATGTCGGAGATATTAATTTTTAATGCGACAGATATTAATTGGCACAATTAGCGAATATCAAAGAGCTGTAACATTTTAGCATTTTTTTTTCTTTTAATGAGATATATATATATATTTTTTTTTTTTTAATGGCAATTTCTAATTTTGATCTCGTTTTAATTAAAATGTGCCGAAGCACGGTTTTATGGATTTTGAAACACACACACACACACACAACCGCAATGGGAATGCAAGCTAGTAACTTTCGAGAGATAGATAGAGAGAGAGAGAGAGAGAGAGAGAGAGAGTATTAAATACAACGAAACTTTATTATTCATCTAAAGGCTCTCTCTCCGTTTCCTCAAAAGTTTGACTTCAACGTTTAATTACCGAGATGGTTAATATTGAATATTATGAAGTTGCGGCGAAGACGTGGTGGTCTTCCTCTCTGAAAAATTTTCCGCGGGAAGAAAAGTGGACACTCGAAATTTATGCAAATTTATAAAATAGAAGATCCACACAATTTAACTTGAAAATGACTCGAGAGACGCGGGAGAGGGGAGAAGGATTGTGAAATTTTACTGCGTGTAACGTTTACGTTTTGACGAGAGAGAAACTCGAGTTATTTTGACGAAAATGACTAATATTGTTAATAGTAATTTGAACGAATTTGCTTTGGCGAAATTTAATAATTAGTTGGTATATTATTTAATTGAAAGGGGAGGGTTCATGACGGGGGAAGAGAGAAGGGGGTATCAGAGCGTTTGCGGCAATAATAATATTGAATTTCAACGAACACGCACGCTGAATGCTCATCGGTGCACTCGCAAGTGTATTGGTGAAATTTAAAGCAGAGATTATATTACAAAAAAAAAAAGTATTACCTCGGCTACCACTCGAGAACTCGAGAACTCTCTTCGCGTTATCGAGCAGAGAGCACTTTATTAAAATTTATCGAAGCACGTTTTGGCGTTGGATTCTCGCGACATGCACGGACATGCATAAACACACACTGACTTCGACAAAGGTCAAAATGAGGCTTCTAAGAATCAAGATGCCGCGATGCGCATCATAGCGACGCGCGTCTCTGCGATATCGTCGCTCGACGAGACGATAAGACCGAAGAAGACCACCCACCCGCGAAGACTCCGCACCACGTATACGTAAATAAGTCCCGGCGCGAATTCCCGGGCTTCAACCCGGACGAGCGCCGCGAGCGAGGATCAAAATTAGTTATTGGTAAGTTGTACGTCGGTAAGACCGCACTTTGTACATATAGGAGAATTTTCGAAATTGTTTAAACGTTCCAGTTTGAGAAAAACAAGTAGTACGTGCGTCGCAACGCCCACCGTCGTGCGTTGGAGTTCATCAATGTACACAAGACGACACGAACACTTTGCACGACCGTGTTCTATTTGTCGAGCTCTAACACGCGCGTTTTATTCCATCAGCTTACTTCTATTAAAGCAATTAATCTAGCTTTAATGATTAATTTACAAGCTGCATATAACGAGATCCGATTTTATCGACACAATATACATTACCGTCGATGTAATTTACATATTTATTGCAGAATTAATCTTTACGGTAAAGCAAAGTTTATTTACAGTAATAAAACGTATTAGTTCATTAAGCGCGAATTGAATTAGTTTATTATAGGAATCTGTACGCGCGCGCGCGCGCGCACACACACTTTAGAGAGATTTAATTCCGATAAAACCTCGACGCGATGAGTTGCGAAATTAGAGACACATCACGAGAATATTTTTCTTTTCTTAATTGCATTCGCGCGCGTGTTGTTACGTCATTAGCGAAGACACGAAAAAATAAGTAGAAAATTAAAAGTGCAACTCGAGGATTACGATTTAATTGATTTACAAACGCTTCAAATATTGTTCGCGCGCGATTTATTATTTGTTAGCTTGTTATTTGTATTTTTTTTTTTTTGTTGTTTCGCGTCGAGAGGAAGAGAAACGTATTTATCATAAATTTTCCGAGCGTTCGCTCCGAAATTAATCGTGTCTCTTCTAATAAACGATACCGCGCGCATGAAAAGACGCCTACGAGGCGACTCGGAGACGAGCAGGCAGGTTCAGGCAGAATAAATACGATACACACTCTGTTACAACCGCTCACCGGCATCGCAACGAGCGGTAAATCGATATATCATAAACGTTGTACGGACTGGCGAGCAAAAACAATAGCGTGCAACAAGAGGGAAAAAGTGGAAATAATCCAAACGGAAAACCGCCGAGTCGTTTCCCGTAAAGCACGCCGGAAATGTATCGTTTACACGTCTTCATCTCATGGTCGCGATCCCGCAAAAGAAGCGCCATTATAAATAGCGCTCGCGTGATTATCGCTAATCTCTCTCTCTCTCTCTCTCTCTCTCACTCTCTCGGCTCTTTATCGACGCATCCTTTTTACGAGCGGCGCGCGGTGGCTTATATTCAGTTTTCCTCTTTCCGCGCGCGCACACATACACAAACACACACACATACACGACTCTTTCCAACAATTTCGTAACGCAGTTTCAGACTCGAGCTCGCATCTTGTCGCTGCATATTAAATGTTCATTTTTTTTTTTTTTTTTTTTTTTTTTTTTTTTTTTTTTTTTTTTTTTTTTTTTAATTCTCTCTGATGATATTTCCAAGGAAAAAAGATGTGTAAAGACCTATATGTGAACCTCGCGCGCGACTTTTTATTTAATTTTTCACTTTAAACGCGGGAAAGAAGTTTTGCTGGAATAGCAAGAAGAGATTAGTTACTGCACGGCCGGCAGAAGAAAAAAAAAACTCGCTAATCCGGTTCAAGGGTTTGTTTCGCCCACGCAAAGACACAATTTTGTTTCGGCCATATAATAGGTAATATAGCAAATGCTTTTCTTTCTCGCGTGTATACATTATTAATATAAAAAATTTATGAGCTTTTCGTGACGAGCACGCGCGCCTCCTTTCGTCCGTATTACGCGATAAGAATAATTAACTAGTTTACACTTGGCGCATGCATCGTGTCTCCAGAGAAAAAGATAGAGAAAAAATGTGAAAGAGAGAGAGAGAGACGCTTATCGCGCGCGCAGCGTTGAAAATTACGTTTTATTGTCTTGTGGCGCGCGGCCGTGTTTCGCTGTAGTTTTATAAGCCGTGGATAAATTTCGTCCCGCCGTACTGCTCTCTATATCACAGCCATACGCGACCGTTTTAAAAAAAAAGTCTCGTTATTCTCGGCGGCGAGTTTACGATGGCAGATAGTTCACACACAGTCCCGTGTTACGCGCGCGTAACGTGATAACCCGCCTCTCAAGTA